AGGTGCCCTCCGTCCTTTGGGGCGGCTTTTCCCCGCCTAGGATCTCAGCCTTGCCGTCGTCTTCTCCTCTTTCAGGCACGACGTGGTGGAAGTGGCCGGTCTCACCTCTTTCTCCTTTGGAGATGAAGAGGACTCGCGATACGTCATGATTTTCAAGAAGGTCAGTGGAGAATCTTGGCTTCCCGGCCTTCCTCTCTCCCTCTTTGGACTCTGCTCCCAGGCCCCTGCACGGAGCGCGGTCCTCCTCTTGAGCCCCTCTTTTGCACTTTAGGAATTTGCTCCCTCCGATGAAGAGTTGGAGGCCTATCGCCGGGGCGAGGAATGGGACCCACAGCAGGCTGAGGAGAAACGGCGGCTTAAGGTGTGCTGTTTGCCTCCCTGGGAGGTGGGGCAGTGTTGCTGGATGGGGATCCCACCCCAAGCCCATTTTTAGGAGGAGATTCATATTAAGAGGTGGGAAAGAGCGACGGGATAATGGGCTGCTTGAGACACCCACCACCACCAAAAAATACCTGATTCTCAGGTGTCGCATAGCCCCTTCAGGAAAAGTCAAAGGTCACCTGCTTCTCTTCTGAGTTTTACTTCCGGCAGAGCGAGGGACAGCCCGAAGATGCTTTTAGCTGCCCGAAGAGAGAGGGGGTCCTTTCCCAGTTCCCTCCAGAGTGCCCCGACAGCGTTCCCCAGCCCCTGGGCAAAAGAGATGGGCGGTTCCCAGTTTCTTACTGGCTTCCCTTCCTGTTTCCTGGATGCCTGGCAGGAGCTGGCACAGAAGCAGGCAGAGGAGGAGGCGCTGAAAGGGCCGACGGTGGTGAACCCAAACACGGACTACAAGGACAAGTACAGCCACCTCATCGGCAAAGTGGCTGCCAAGGATGCCGCCCACGCCATGGAGGCCAACAAGGCCTACGGCTGTGGTGAGTCCCCCTTGCGTAGCTGCATCTGGAAGGGGGCAGGTGGGGTGGGGACTCCGCTGGCCCTGAACCGCTTCAGCCTCCTCTCATCCCTTCCCCCTTTTGCCTCCCAGTTCCTGTTGCCAACAAGCGGGACACTCGCTCCATCGAGGAGGCCATGAACGAAATCCGCGCAAAGAAACGCCTGCGCCAGAGCGAGGACGAGAGCGCTGTGCTGTCCTCGAGCAGCTCCTAGGAGCGGCGGGGAGTGGCCTCGTGCCTTCTGGGTGCATTTGACTCTTTCAGGGATTGCTCCTGCCGTTTGGGGGGTCCCGGATGGGGGGTGGGGAGGGTTGTTGCAGTGCCTCCTTCCTTGGCCCCCTCTCGCTGGGTTCCCTCCCCACCTTTTCCTTTTCAGTCTTTGGCGTTTTGTAGCCTATGAGTGCATTTTACTATTAGAAAGAAAGGACATGCTATTTTAAAAGTTTTATTGTCTTGGTGAAAAAGAACCAAGATGGGGGGGGCTAGTAAGGTATAAATGTGCATGCATGCACACACACACACACACTTTGAAGGTGTGTTGGTAAATAAATAATATATGCTTACCCTTAAATTGTCCCCCTTGTGTGTTATTAAAGGCCTGTCACTCGCCTGTTACTTCTTTGGTTGGTGGAGAAAGTTCTGCTCCGCCTGGGTTTCTCTCCGGAAGGTTTCTCCTTAGGGAAAGATTTTCCCATCTGAAACCTCGCCCGTTCCCAGCTGATTTCTTTTGGGCAACAAAGGGGCTTCCTGTGGGGCTGCAGTGTTGCCTCTGACCCACTGAGGGAGACACCCCCAACACACACACACACACAAACATACACACACTTGGGCTCTCCGTTGCCAGTAGAGCTGCACTGCCCCCTTTCTTGCAGTAGGTGTCACTGTCCCCCTTCCACAGCCTTCCCTAATGGTCATAAGGCATCCACCCTGGTCCTTGCGCCCCCCCCCCCAGGCTGGGTTGGCTTTATGGGCAGAAGCCTTTCGTCCTCAGCCAGAGTGACCCACCTCGGGGATAGTTGTCGGGTGAGGGAGTGAGCGCAGCCGCTCTTCTTCCTGTGCCCTTCCCTGGCAGGGCTGCCCCGCTTTTATTATGTGTGTAAACAGGATTGCCTTCTGTGGCTTGGCTGTGGGGCAGTGCCAGCCGCGCCACCATGCGATTTCTGTCCCTGTGGAATCTTACAAATCCTGCTGGCAAATTTTAGAGCTTTGTTGGCAGGGGGGCCACTGTGTTGGGGGGGAAGCAAAGTGCTTCGCTGTGTTCCATTAAGCACCAGGGAGGAAGGCTGCGCGATCCTTTCGGCAGGAGCAGCTAGGGCGACCTTCACTCTTGTGTTCAGAGGAAGGAAAGGGGGGTTGAGGGAGAAGGACAGCGGTTTTGGAGGAGAGGTTGCCGTCTGGGTGGGGAACGTGTTTCGGCAAGCAGCCTGCAGTTCATGGTGTTCAGTGCAGTCAGGGCTAGTAGGTGACCTTAAAGGCAGAGGGGCAAAGTCTGCCATGGGCTACTAGCCATTATGGCTGCAAACTCAGTTGTGGCCTTCCTGGCCTGCTGGCAGCCTTCAGGCAGGGCCCTGCAAGAAATGGGAGGCCGGACAGGATGACCCTGTCTCCTGGCTTTTCTGAGGGGGAATTGCTGGCTGTGCACGCCGACCCCCTTTGGTCTCTGCCTCTCGCTGTAGAATGGGTTCGGCAAACCCGAAGGCTTTGCAGGGGAGGGAGGAACAAGGGAGGAGCCCCCCCCCCGACTTCCTGATTGCCCTCAAGGGAAGCCTTCCCAGCCTCACCCAGTGTGACCAATCCCTCCAGAGCTGCCCCGGCTGTGGACAGTGCACGCAAAAGAGAAAGAGTCCCTGGGAACAGATGCTGCCCTTTCAAAGCTTCCGAGGGAAGGCAGCCAAAGGCTTGGAAAGGCACGACAGGCTCCCCCCTCTACTCCCCGCCCTCCCCGCAAAGCAACGACACACAAGTGACACGGTCTGGCACCTTTTGCTGCCTTTTTATTCAGTGCCCCGAGGTAGGTTTTGGGGCAGGCTCTTCAGAGGGGGTGTTGTGTGCATGTTCATGCAAGAGCCGGAATGCAGGAACCACGATGGAATCTGGGCCGCTCTGGTGAAGGTTCCTGCCAATCTTTTGCATGCGAGGCAACAAGTGCAGCGTCTCAGGGAGGTGGAAGTTGGCACGGGCTCTCCCGAGGCAGGGCGGCCACTGTGGGTCGGCGTCTTCGCTTACTTGGCCAAGGGGTGCCGGAACTTGCGCCCGGCGAAATGGGCCTTGTCCCCGAGCTCTTCCTCAATCCTGCAGATGGGAAAATGGGGAACTTGATTTTAGCTGAACTGGTAAAATTAAGAAGGGCAGAACTAGAGAGTGACCCAAGTTCTTTGGCCACCTTTTCCCAGGAGGGGGGGACTCTCTTGTCCGCTCACCTCATCAGCTGGTTGTACTTGGCCAAGCGCTCTGACCGGCAGGGGGCTCCAGTTTTGATCTGCAAAAAGGCACCCAAACATTGTCAAGGCACGTTAGAGGAGGGGACAGAGAGTCCGAGGGGCCCCCAAGACCTCCAGGTGAGTGCCAGTGTCTCTCTCTCTCTCTCTCTCACCTGCCCTGTGCACAGCCCCACCACCAAGTCAGCAATGAAGGTGTCCTCTGTCTCCCCGGAACGGTGGCTCACCATCACACCCCAGCCGTTGCTCTGGGCTAGTTTGCAACTGGAAAGGAATAGAAGAAGGAATCGGTGGGGGCGCTCGGGAGGCCAGCTAGTCTGCCTGCCCCCCACACACACACCAAGGGTCCTAGAACAAGAGGGACCTTCAGCCTCCCTGAAGGCTTCTGCTTGCCCAGCTCGCAAGCAGGCCGTCCGTCCGTCCACCGGCCCTCGCCCCCGGGAAGGACTCACGCCTGGATGGACTCTGTGACGGAGCCAATCTGGTTGACCTTCAGCAGGAGGCAGTTGCAGGCCTTCTGCTCCACGGCCTTCTGGATGCGCTTGGGGTTGGTGACGGTCAAGTCGTCCCCCACGATCTGGATCTGGACCTTAGTCAGGAAGCTCTTCCAGGTCTCCCAGTCATCCTGGTCGAAGGGGTCCTCGATGGAGACGACTGCAGGGCAAGACGGGGAGTGAGCATAAAGGCAGAGCTGCCTCGTGGGGCGGCGTCCCTTCAGCTCAGTTGGGCTTAGAGGAGCAGAGCCCCTTATGCTGCGGTGGGGGAAGGCTGGGGACCCAACCCTGGGAAGGTGAGGGATTGCAGGGGTGTTCCTGAACATACACAGAGGGCCAACGTTGCCCTCCCCACCGACCTGTGCCTTTCCAGAAGGGGGCAAGGGGAAGAGCCAGGACAGCCAGCTCCAGCCAAGCCCTTCTGGCTCTTCAAGGGTCAACTGGCGCGTGCAGGGGATTGTCTCCCGCTCCGTCATATGATTCAGGGGAACAGCCAAGCCTCCCTCTTTCTCACCCGGGTAATTCTTGATGAAACTCTGGTACAGTTCGCCCAGCTTCTCGCCGGTGATGTAGCGGTTTGGGTCATCGGGGGACTTGAAATCCAGGTCGTATTTGCCTTTGCGGAAGAATTCGGAGGCGGCCACATCCATACCAATGACCACTTTGTCCGGGTAGCCGGCTTTCTCGATGGCACTCTTCAGCAGCTCCAAGGCTAGTGGAAGTAAAGGCCAGGCCAGAAAGGGTGAGGGAGAGGAGATTAGGAAACTGGGCACGTGAACCACCTATCCAAGAAGCTCCAGTGGGTCCAGAGAAGATCTGGGTCTCCTTTCGTGGACCTTTCTGGGTTGGGCAGGGTGGGGTGACTGTGATGGCAGAAGCCCATGTTTCTTCCAGAGAAACTGGCTGAGGGCAAAAGCATCTCTCCAGCCTCTGCTTTCTGGAGGCAGCCGCTGCTCAACATCCTCTGTTCTAAAGACGAACGGGGTGGGGGTGGGGACAGCAAACAGCCTTCCTGATTTCTCTCATGTTCCCAACAGCCTGGCACTGGTCGGCCCACTTTACACAGGTGAAGCCCACCCAGGCCTTTCCCTTTCCTGTGCCAAGCGGCTGCCCGCGGGCTTTCCCTGCAACCCGGGGCTCCTGCATTTACGGCAGCCAGGCAGCCCCTCCGAGGCCTGTCTGCCTTGCCTTTGGCCTTTCTGGGGGTTCCAATTACAGCCTCTGAGCTAATTCTGGCCCCAACATTTAAAGGGCAAGGTGAGCCTAACTGGAGGGAGGGGGGCCATGAAACACAAGCCCCACTCCCCCCCCATGGCTAAAAGTAGCCTCTGGAGGCTGGGTGGCTTCTGGCTCCCTGCAGGCAGGTGGGTTGGTGGGTGAGCTGGGAGGGGGGGGAGCTGCTCCTCCTCCTCCTCCTCTCCTGTACCTTCGTTGTTCTCCAGGATGTTTGGGGCGAATCCACCTTCATCGCCCACGTTGGTGGCATCCTTGCCGTACTTGCTCTTGATGACGCCTTTCAGGTTGTGGTAGACCTCGGCCCCGATCCTCATGGCTTCTTTGAAGTTGCTGGCCCCCACGGGCAGGATCATAAACTCCTGCATTGCCAGCTTGTTGCCAGCATGGGAGCCCCCGTTGATCACATTGAAAGCCTAGAAAGTGGGGGAGGGGTGTGGGGGGGACGGTTAAGATCTGGGACGCGCCCCCCCCAACTCTACCCCTCTCTTCCCTGCCTTACAGCCCCCATGGGTCTCTCTTAAGAAAAAGCCTCCCCGTCTCCCGGTGCCCTCCTGCCACGTGGGGGAGAAGGGAAGCTCCCCGGGGACGGCCAGGACCCAGCGGCCCCACGGGGGAAACTGAGGCAGGGCTCTTTTCCTCCGGCCCCCTCCTTTGTGGGGCCCCGTTTTACCTTGGAGCCCCAAGGGGCTCCCCATCGCCCTTTCCCCCAGCCAAAGCAGCCCCCACCCCGGAAGAAGCGACCACCCAGCTCCAACGTTGCAAAGCCCCTCACACTGGAGGGCCTCGGTTCCCCTCCCTGGCTCCCCGCAGTGGGTGTCCCTGATGGCCCTCCGTCCTCTGGTGCCCAGTCACTCACGGGGACAGGCAGGATGAGTTCCTTGTTCCCAGCCAGGTCCGCGATGTGGCGATAGAGGGGGACTCCCTTCTCGGCTGCGCCAGCCTTGCAGACGGCCAGGGAGACCCCCAGGATGGCATTGGCCCCAAACTTGGCTGCAGGGAGGGAGGGAGGGAGGGGGGAGCACAAGTGAGGAAAGAAGAGGAGGGGGGATGGCAGGAGGGGCCCCTGGTGATCCAGGGGCAGACGAGGACAGCCGGTGGAGGTTCATGCGCACACACACGAATGCCCGCACGCCCCACCCCTGCCATTCCACGTTGCACCTACATTTGTTTTCAGTGCCATCCAAGTCAATCATCATCTTGTCGATCTTCTCTTGTTCAACAACGCTCAATTTCTAGTGGAGAGGAGAGAGAAGGGGGACGCGTCTGCCTAGGGCGATCCGCCACACAGACATTATGAACCTGGAGAAAATGGACCCTCAGCTCGAGGGCTCGATTTAGCAGAAAGCCCGTAAACAGGCTGAGCTTTAAATTTGGTTCTTAGGATTCAGCACCAAGGGAACCCAAAACCAGTCTCAGGGCAGGCTGATAAAAAGAGGGGCCGGCAAAAGGCCGCTGCTCAGAGGGGCCCCCCATCACACAAGGAAGGGTACCTGGCACTCCTGGCCACCAGCCGGGGGGGCGGGGGGGGCTTTTCGGGTCATGAAGCAGATGAAGGATTTTCTTAACCCACCCATCTTCTCCCTTCCCTCCCTTCCCCCATGGAAAACCCCGGGGGTCTGGGCTTCCAGCTGGTCTTGCTTTGCCCATGGCCTCCGGAGAGAAGGGCTCCCTCTGGAGGGTTGCGGGACCTGCCACCCCCACGCCCACCCCTTTGCCCAGAGAGGGGAAGACCCTTTTTTGTTTGCTTGCTTGCTTGCAACAGGCCCACTTGGAGAGCAGTGGTGAGTCAAGAGCAGCAGAAAGCCCGGGGCTCAGTGGCTGGGAGGGTGGCCTCCTCATCCGGTGCCCCAGGGGCCGAGCGAGGGCTTCATAGGGGGTGGCCTTGGGCCCCCTGCCGGGCTCCTCTCGTCTTAGGGGCCGAGCACCTCTCAGGGGGGCACGTGCGTGCTGGCAGCTCCTGCTCACCTTCTCAATCAGGGCGGGGGCGATGGTCTTGTTGATGTGCTCCACGGCTTTCAACACCCCTGCAGGAGAGCCAGACGCTCAGATGGTGAAGGGAACAAAGGGAGGGAGGGAGGGAGAGGTGCTTGAGAACTGCAGGAGGGGACAGAATGTGGCCAAAGAGGAAATTCCCACCCCCACCCCCCAAGCAGGAGCAGGTATGGGGACGCCTCTCAGGCTAGTGGAATAATCTCCCAACTCAGGCTGTTGAGCCGTTGGGTGTCCCAAGGAGGAGGGACGGGGTCCAACGTGGGCAAGACCTGCCATGCGGGACCTGAGCAGAACAGCCCCTGGTCAGCGTCTGTCCTCCCTCCTTGATCAAGAGGCCGCTGGTCACCTCCAGAAATCTGTTTGAGCCACCCCGGTTGGCCAGGCAGGACTGCCTCTGGCAAGGGACACACGGTGCCCAGGGGCCAGAAAACAGGAGCCATTCGAAGCCTTGCAGGGCACCCCTTCCAACCCAGGATGGCACCTGTGTGTTCATGAGCCGCCGGAGGTGGGGAAGCCCGCCCTTCTGGCTGGACCCAGGCGGGCAGCCTTCCCTAGAAGACCCTGCCTGTGGGCCACCCCCACCCAACTGCAAAACTCACCACCCTCTTTCCCTCTCCCCCCCCCAAGCCCTTCCGCCCTTCTGGCCTCCTGTCCCCTCCGCCTCCCCGCTCACCTTTGCCCAGGTATCTGGCTTTGTCTCCATCCCGGAGTTCCAGGGCCTCATAGATGCCGGTTGAGGCACCGCTGGGAACAGCAGCCCGAAAGCGGCCTGGTGGGGAGAGGAAAACGTCCGGTCAGCCCTTGCCCTCCCCCGCCTGCTCGCCCCCCTGCAGAGGCAGGCAGGCCCCTAGCACCCCTTCCTTCACCCAGACGAAGATCCAGCTTGCCCCCCCCCCCCCCCCCCCCCCCCCCCCCCCCCCCCCCCTCCCC